GTGATGCCTGGTGATTAGAGTGGGGGGCAGCTGGGAGCCAGGACCTCTGGGTTCTATCCCAGCTATGCCCTGCAGTTGTTCAGAGTTATTGATTTATCCTCCGATCAGTGTCCCACACAGGTGTGACCCTACTGGCCTGTGGCCCATGGCTCCCTGCTATCAGTGTGAGGCTGGGCTCTGCCTGGCCGTGCTGTGTGTTGGTTTGATTGGGAGGAGACTCTGCCATTGGGTGCTCTCCCCAGTGAGATGCTCTGAGGGGCAGGGACTGGTGGCTTAGCGCAAGAGCCCAGCACTGCCACTCCCCTCCTAGGCCCTAACCCTGCTGCAGCCAACAGGGCTTGGCCTGGGTCCCCTTTGTGTGTGTGGGGTCTGGCTGCCCCAAGCCTTAAACCCGCTAGTTCACCCACTCCGCTCTGCACCACACCTCCCTGACAGCTGTGGTGACCCACAGAGTTTGGTGTCTCTAGGCACTCGGCCCCTCACCCAGCAGCTGTGGAGTCCGTCTTGCCTGTGTCGCTACCCGTGGGCGCCTTCCCTGGGGTGTCTCCTTTTGTGTCCATGTTGTTAACCTGGAAGGTGCTGGTGGCTTTCAACAAACGTGTCTTTGATCTATAGAAAGTCATAGACCTGGTTAAAGCCAATGGCTGTGCTAAGCACCTGTTTTTCAGGCCAAAGGAATGGCGCAATTAAATATAATATTGTGTAGTGATAGCTGGAAACAGCAGGAAGCCACTGACCAAGGCAATGAACCTCATGGCAAAGCTAATCACAAGCTAAGGAACAAGGAGTACTTGTGGCACCTTAGAGACTAACATTTATTTGGGCATAAGCTTTTGTGGGCTAAAACCCAGTGGGGGGGGTTAGCCCACAAAAACTTATGCCCAAATAAATTTGTTAGTCTCTAAGGTGCCACAAGTACTCCTTGTTCCTTAGCTTGTGATTAGCTTTGCCATGAGGTTCATTGCCTTGGTCAGTGGCTTCCTGCTGTTTCCAGCTATCACTACACAATATTATATTTAATTGCGCCATTCCTTTGGCCTGAAAAACAGGTGCTTAGCACAGCCATTGGCTTTAACCAGGTCTATGACTTTCTATAGATCAAAGACACGTTTGTTGAAAGCCACCAGCACCTTCCAGGTTAACAACATGGACACAAAAGGAGACACCCCAGGGAAGGCGCCCACGGGCAGCGACACAGGCAAGACGGACTCCACAGCTGCTGGGTGAGGGGCCGAGTGCCTAGAGACACCAAACTCTGTGGGTCACCACAGCTGTCAGGGAGGTGTGGTGCAGAGCGGAGTGGGTGAACTAGCGGGTTTAAGGCTTGGGGCAGCCAGACCCCACACACACAAAGGGGACCCAGGCCAAGCCCTGTTGGCTGCCGCCGGGGTAGGGCCCA